GCGCTTTGCCACTGAGCTACATCCCAGCCCTATCTACAAATACATCTTAACAGCATATATCTTTCACTGGGTTCCTAAGAAAATTAAGTGAGAAAAACAAAATTAAAAAATCCTTCCACTAATCTAGACACCTATCAGATGCTAAATGTAATTGGCAAATGGTATGAGAAAACCCTTAACATTGTGTCATTTGTGACCCTCTAAATATAGTCTAGAGATATTTTAGCTACTGTGATATGAGAGTTAGTAGACCACGTGGCATTCAAAAAGTTATCTTACTATGTCTGCAAGTAAAAATAGTCCTCATTTTGTAGAACTATGTTCACAAAGAAGGCATAAAGGAGGATGAGAGAAGGAATGATGGAGGGAGTATTTCTGGCCACAGTACGTTGTATGCACAAATGAATATGTCAAAATAAATCTGTTGTATTATTGATACTAATAAAAAGTAACTGGTTTATAATCTTAATCCTCATAGTGAATTAGGCTTTTTTTGAGGTGATTATAACAAAGCTACTTGAGTTAATTAAGATGATAAAATTGGGTCTGGGAATATAACTTAGTGGTAGAGTGTTTGTCTAGCATGCATGAAGCCCTGGCTTCTATTCCTCAGCACCACATAAACAGAAAAAGCCAAAAGTGGCACCGTGTTTCAAGTGATAAAGTAGAAGCCTTGAGCAAAAGAAGCTCAGGAACAGTATGAAGGCCCTGAGTTTAAGCTCCAGGACTGGCAAAAAAAAAATTGAGTAAGTCATGTTACGATGATATTTGTGTGCTTGCTAAGGTGATTACTCTCCCTTGATATACCAATTCTCTTTAGCACAGACTAGGAACTGGTTTTTGTTTTTTCTTTTGTATAATTTACATAGTAGCTCAGAATATCTTTATTCATTTCAGGGGGAATAAGCCTGGGTTCACTCGTAGAGTCGACTAAAACACATGTACAGATTGTTGAAGAAATCCTAGATAAAGCTTTCACAGTCCCAAGAAATACCTATCTCATAAGCTAATTCTAGAAGAGCAGTTGTTTGGGAGGACAGGAAGGCTTTTGCTGCTGTTCAGAGTCTGTCACTTTATTTGATTTTGCCTATCTTGGTCTTGATGTCTCTGCATCTCGTGAATTTAATAGAAAATTTCTTATACAAAGAATGTTGCTCAACAAAATTTTTTGTGTTCTTATGGTTCATCTTTATTAGTAAGTAGGAAGGTTAATCACAAGCATTCTACTCCTTTGATACTGAGAAATAGGTAGGTTGAATTATGGTCAGCAAAACCTTAGTTCAGAAGAAATGGTAACTTTTTTCCCCAAATTAAGATAAAAGATAATTTAGAAACATAGTGAATGCATTGCTTGAAATTTTGCAAAATATTTATTAGGAACTGAGTAGAAAGAAAGCTATGTAGTTATGGCTATGAGAAAGTCATAGCATTCAGTTTGTTACAATGGTGTTAATTATATTGATACCAGTGAAGAAACTTAAGACAGATGTCTGTGCTGGGAAACAAATAAAATGTCTGGTATTTTAATTATTTTGTAAACTGTTCACCTATCCCCATTTTGAATATTTATATTTCTAATGTAATTAACAATACAAATCTTCAAATATAAACAATAATATTAGTAGTACTTGATAGAGTATGGTTAGAAATGTTGACAATATTGCATATTCTTATGGAATACTCAGATTGTTATAAAAAGCTCAACTATCTTCTTTGTAATTGATAAAATATTTTTCTATTTTATATTTCATCAGTTGTTCCAATAGCATTATACCATGTAGCTCAAGCCAGCCTCAAATTTTATAATCTTTCTTCAGTTTCTCAATTACTGCATTGTAAATGTATACCAGATATTTAATGCTGTAACAAACTTAATTTCTTCTGCTAACTTTATGAATGAGATTCAACTCTATCAATAGGTAAAAAGAACCTGAAAATGCTGTTTACATATATATATATATATATATATATTATCACAGAGCAGGAATGTATATGTATCCTTATATTTTTATAATCAGAGGATAAAAGCAGTACAACTAAATGTAAATCCATATGCCTTTTCTATTGACAATTTTCAGACCTAAAATATCACTATTGGACAATTTAACACTTTTTACTTGTATTTGAGATTAATTGCACAGGGAGATTGTATTTGAAATTAATTACACAATGAAATGTCCAAGATAAAACAAACTTTACAACTTTGGGGGGGGAGGGAGGAGTTGGGTTGATGGGGAGGGAAGGGATAGTGGGGAAAAACAAAGGAGGGGTAACAATGCTCAATAGGAAATGTGTTCATTACTCACGTAATTGTAACCCCTCTGTACAGTATCTTTACAATAAAAATACACATTAATAAAAGAATTGACAGGATATTTGATTTCTTCTGAAATCATTAAGTTGACCATCCACTAAAGAAGAAAATGTCTATTTTTGAAAACAATTGCAGTAACAAGAAAGAATAACCTTAAGAAAAATAAGCTAAATGTCAGATTTTAATTGTCATTGAATTTGAGTTTTGATATTTGCCATATTTAACTATATTTTAAAAATACATAATTAAACTGTTTCATATGATATTCCCACAGTATCTATTAATAGCCAGTAAGTTTAGATTTCTTACACTAAGGTATGATTTGCTATCCAGCTACCTACTGACTTTTCTTAATGAAAACTTATTCACTTAGCTTTCCACACTTATTGTAATTGATGGCAGTCCATAGGGAAATGGCTTTCAAGAATTTACATATGTTTTGTCACACATACATTAGTTTTTCTATATAAGACTACATGGTAAATAGTTTATATTTGTAGGTCATGGTGTCTTTTTATTTTTTAAACTATTCAATTCCACCATCATAGTGCAAATTGTCCATATGTAAGTGACTGCATACTCTGTTCCAATAAGCTTTTGTTTATGGTTGAATTTGACTTGCAGTCTATAAATGCTCATCCCTGACCTAGACCATCATCAGTTCCTAAGTAACACTGGTCATATATTAAACACGCACACAACAACAACAACAACAAATGGCATTGGACAGTAGATAGATCTTCAAATTCATAACAACAACAAAAAATCACCAGAATTGTTTTTTTAGAATTGTGTACTTCTTTACGAGAAAGACCAAGGAAAACATGAAATGAGCAAAGTGTATACATTTTTAATTGTTACTCTCATTATACCTTTGTTAGACGCCTGTATTGAAAGTAGCTGTAGAAGCCGGGAACCTGTGGCTCCCACCTGTATTCTTAGCTACTCAAAAGGCTGAGATCTGAGGATTGTGGATCAAAGCTAGCCAGGGCTGGAAAGTCGCTGAGACTCTTACCTCCAATAAACTACCAGAAAACCAGAAGTGGGCTGTGGCTCAAGTGGTAGAGTGCTCGCCTTGAGTGCATTGAGCAGAAGAGCTCAGGGACAATGCCCAGGCCCAGAGTTCAAGCCCCATGACTGACCCCCCCCAAAAAAATGTAGCTATGAAATATTTTTCTGTGGACAAAATTCATTTTAGTTTCATTTGAAGTCAGAGTTTCAAAACTGGGTGAAAGAGGAAATGACTGATAAAATACTATGCTCTCTCGTCTCATGAAATTATTTTATTTATGTGCTAAAGTCTCTGTACTATTTTTGCCTCATTTGTCATACTTCTAAAGTTTATACAGCCATTATAGAGATAAAATGTTAGACATTGGGATATTAGCTATTGAGCTAATTTCTTTGATCATGATTGGTCAAAATTATGTGTAACAAATCTGCAGGTGAGATGGATTTATGCTATAATAGCTATATAAAACTACATGAAAGTGGGCATGGGCAAAATAGTTCTGTACATATTAAAAAAAACCTCTGCATATGAGGGTTGGTTGTTAGAAAAATGCAAATCCAAACCCAAATGATATACTTTTGACACTCACTAGGATGACTATAACCAAAAATATAGATAATAGCTGGTGCTGATGTGAAGAAATATGATGCCACATATTCTGCTGATGGGAATGTGAAATAGAGACATTGTTTTGGAAAAACAGTGTGACAGTTACTCACAAGGTTAAATGCCTAGTTTCTATGTCAACTAACACTTCAAATCTACAGTAATATAAATGTCTACACAAAATTCATAATAGCAAAGCATTGAGTACCAACACTCACTGGTAGTGAGTGGAAAATAAAATATAGTATGTCTGTCCATCTCGTGTAGTAAAAATAATGAATTACAACCAGGTTGAACCTTATAATCATTGTTGAGTGAAAGGCCAGACACCAAACAGTGTATCACATGATTATATTTATATGAGAAAGTTTATTGAGTCAAAAGTAGATGAGCAATTGTCTAGAGCTGGAGGTGCACAAAGCAGGATTGATTCATAGCAGATGCACAATTTCTTTCACATTAAAATTAACATACAATGAAACAATTTGGCTTCAGAGAAAGACAGGTAGATTTCAGGGTACAGTGGATTATAATAACTTCATTTAGGAGATAATCACATTGCAGCAGCTATTCTAGATGCAGTATATTTAGCAAGGAAAATAAATGTAGTCAGTCAATGTCTAACAATTTCTAGCAAGAATTATACAATGTTGTTTATCATAAAAATTATTCACTTTAAATGGGTAGACTGGACAGCATGTGAATTATTTTCTAATTTTTTAAAGAATAACATAAAATGATAGTGAGCAATGTTCACTATTATAAATGTGGCTCTTTATGTACTGCAAGTATTATAAGATGAATGTTCTCAGAAGATCTTTGAGTCATCTAGCTTGGGTTTCAAGTAAATAGCATGTCTTCAATACTGCTAGTGCAATCAGATAAAGAATTTGACATTTTCTCAATAATTAGATACTTTTGTAAAAAAAAAAAAACAACATCATTTGTATGCCTGGGCATAGGTAGTTTTCGTGTGGGAAATATTCACAAGATTTAATTCAAATTAATCAACAACATTTTGGATAGTGATTACACATAATTAAAAAGTGACATTAATTTTTCTTTTAGGATGGGAAGTATGCAGGACCCTTTGCATGTAGAGCACAGTCTTCCAGCGGTGTGAAAAGTGTTAAGGATGTCTGTGTAGGAGGCTACCTGCTTTTTTTATCTACCAGGCTAGAGACAGTCCTGGCATGCCACTTACCAATCAATTGTGAAGATCATTACATCTTCTCTAAAGCAAATGATTCTAAAGAAATGTAGTGGTCAAATCTACTAGAGTAATAGCCTAATGATTTTTCAAATTTCCCCTACATACACAGACACTATAGGTACCATCAGCATTTGCACGTTTTTAATGCTAGCATGTGGGAAGGCTGAGGCAAGAAGAGTAGCAAGACCAAGCTGAGCTACATATCAAGTTACGGCTGCCAAGATTGACATTGTGAGAACCTGTTCTTAAAAGGAAAAAAAAAACTAACTAAAAAAATCAACATCATATGAAAGAAAACCAGGTAATATGTAGACTACATATATAAAAAAACATTAGAAAACCAATTACTTCACAGTTATGCTATGTTCAATTTGTTGTGTGTGATATCATTGTTTGCATATGCTATGTTCAATTTGTTGTGTGTGATATCATTGTTTGCATTGTAATTATAAATTTATGTGTGAACTTAGGTAAAAATGAAAGTTTGGTTTTGAATCTAACCTTGATTTTGCTTGTTGAATGTGATTCCTTATCTTTTAAATACTTGTTTAAAAAATACTGTACAGAGGAATTACAGTTACATGAACAAGGTAATGAGTACATTTCCTATCAAGCATTGTTACCTCCTCCTTTGTTTTTCCCCTACCATCCCTTCCCTCCCACCTCCACAACTACACTCCCCCTCCCCACCTGCCTAAATTGTAAAGTTCATTTTCCCTGCAGAGTATTTAACAAAAACGTTTTTCTTTTATTCCTTGTTTCTGGTTGTAATAGTAACAGCTTTGACTTCAAATTCATTTATTACTTGAACAAATGAACTGATCAACTATTTTATTATTAATCTGTAATAGTCATGTGCATTTTTCAAGTATGTCTATGGTTTATAATTATTTATGCCGTAGTAACATTTGGCATTCTGTCAACTCTAGTATTTTTCATGTGCTTGTGTGACCTCTATGATTATAGGCATATATCTAAGCATATATCTTTGTTACTTAGTTAAATACAAAGCAAAATTAGATCATCAACATAGATTCAACTCGAGACATTTGACATTTGGTACCGTATAACGTCACATTTTCTTCTAGATAAAATAAAACAAATATTATGACAGAGTTACTTACGTTCACTCAACAGACTTTACCACTGTTAACAAAGAAAGGAAAGGAAACATCGTGTAATAATGTTTCTTATAGAACAGAAATGTTAAAAGGGATAGAGTTTAATAACACAACATAAAAATAAAACACTGGCGTGGTAATGCATTTAGGGGAGTTGTTTTTAAAACATACGTGTGGATTTTCCCTGTCCAATTATGCCTTGAATATTGAGCCAAAAGAAGACAAGATAAGAAAAGTCAAGTTTCTAGGTTTCCCTTTTTCATAATCTTTAACAGGCCAGTAGCTAGGTTAATAGGAGGGAAAATTATCTTGTTCAGGTAAACTGAACTCTCACTACAAGTAGTCCCACCATCATAAGTAGTTGTTAAAAAAGGGAAAAAAAGATAAGGAAGAAAAGAGAAAAAGAAATCTCTCTCCATTTTTCATTTATGTAGAGCACCTGCTGCATGAAATGGTGCCAAACTGACTGACAGCAGGTAGTTTTTAAGAAAAAAAACACTACTTTTTCTTTCTCAGGCTGCTGCTGCCTTTGCTGAGCCAGTGGCATGGATTGTTCATCAGGAAGAGTCAATAGAGCCTGCTGTCAACACCATGTGTCTCTACGCATTTTTAAAGGTTTTGCCTTCTTGAAGTTCAGTTGTCAGGAGCCTCGCTTTTAAATAGATTTTCAGTGTCAATATGTGCTGCTCCCCACTAATGTTAAGAAATGGCAACAAAGAGAAGGATCAGAAGCTTTGTCGGGCTGTTGGCGCTGCTGGTACTTATTGGCTGACCACCCATCAAGAAACATCTTTAGAAATGAAGGCTTGGATAAAAAGGACACTCTCAGAGCTTCTTTCTTAAGGTGTTCTCACTATCAATAGGTGACAGATAAATATAAGGTACACTTGAATGGTGTTCTTTTCTTCCCTCTAGATATTGTCTATATTATTGAACAAATAAAATGACAAAGCTATGGGCTGTGTATAAGAGCCTCAACATTTTCTAACATACTTGAATTACTATGCAGACAGAAATACCAGGTTGTCAATTCCTTTAGTTTATATTGCTTTTCTTGTTCACAGTTATTACCATTCAGTTTACAAATATATTTCTCCCAAGTTCATGAATGGGTGGAATATTTTGAAGGGAAGACTCAATTCTGCAGGTTTATTTTTTTATTCTTCATAAGCTGGTAACCTTAAGCTGACCTTATGTTTTCAAAATGTATATGAAAGTAATTAAATAGAATTTGCCAGGCTTTTAGTATCAACCTCTCTGAGCCCCAGTATTATTATGAGAGCAATGGATTAGATTAATTTATTCTTTTCTTTCTACTACAAAAGTATTTTGTGTCCTTTAATCCTGCAATGTTTTGTGCTGTATAGCCCAGAGTATTGAGAGATAAATTAATTTCTTTTCTAATCAATATAACTGGGAACAAAGAATACAATACTTGCAAGTAAATAACAAAAATTCAACAGTAGAATTCTGTGAAAACAACTGAATCATTATGACTGGTAAAATAAAGAACTTTTGAAGGAAGCATCTTTTAATGTGACTTTTGAAAAATGATTAGAAAGTTTATAGATGGAATCAGAAAGGAATGTAGAGAAAAGTATTTCATAATGAAAAATCAGTGGAAACATTGACTTTATAAATATCATGTAAGAGAAAATTAGAAATATTTCAAGTTTTTTCACATAAATGAGGTAGTGAGGGAAGTAAGCCATATGTAGTTTTAGTAGGTAAAATACAGTCAATAACTTATTATTTCAAATTGTGCATATAGAAGTAACATTGCTTCAATTCATTCATATATTCAATCATTTTTTAAAGGCAAATGTCTATTGATGTCATATTATTAGCTGTCTGTGTTTTAGATACTCATGAGGAATCACTGACAATAATTTTGGTTTTTTATTGAATGAAGATTTTACTAGAGAGATAAAAAAGAATGAGAGAATGCAAGTAGAATTAATTGCAAAGGAAGTCAAAAGTTAAGGTGAAAGTGTAGAGAGATTGATGGGAGAGTACTGTTTTATGCCATGGTCATGACAGTCCTCTCATTGAGATGACATTTGAGCCACAGTCTAAAGGAAGTAACTACATTAAGTGCAATAATGTTCCAGGCAGAGAGAACAATATGTAACAAGGTACTGAAGCAAGTGAGACCAATTATCATTCTCAGTTTTCCAATTGAATGGAGGTATCATTACGTAGTCCATAACATTTTAGTAGTTTTTATTATATATGATTTTCCATAGGAAGCAACCTGATGCAGTAAGAACTGAGATATTTGTGCTTTAGGAAAAAGGGAAACTTTTATTTTTCCACAGAGTAATATTTTTTTCTAATGATTCTGAAAATAAAGAGAACTTTGTTGAGCAGAAGTACACATTTTTAAAATTTATTTGCTGTACTTGAGCAGAAATTATTTAGGAACAAATCCTTGATGGTTGATTTTTGTGTTTGGTTCCAGTTAACCAATTACCCTGGGGATAACGTTTCCCTTTTGGACTCATATTAAAGTTGGGTCTTGGGCACCACCTGATATTAAAGCAGTTTATTCTGGAAAGTGTTTTATACAATGGATAGCAAGAGTTGGCCAAAGTCTAGACCACATACTCAAAGATCAGATAACAGCTTGACCAGAAGGGTTTCCCTTCAGAGACCATTCTCAGACTCTGAGGGAATTTAATTCATTTCTTTAACCTGTGTTCACTCAGCTGAGCTACCAAGTATTCTGTAAAGGGATTCTGAGCTGTTCTTAAAAGGGTGAATGTTTTTTTTCCAAGTTCAAAACAGTTGCATCTGTGCTGAAACATTATCAGCCAGAGGCTTTTAGATTTCAATGCCATAAAAATCAGTTAATACCCGTCAGCTCTGGATATTCTTAAGGAAGGCTCCGTCATACCTGCAACTAATACACAGCAAAGTTCCTAGGAGATGTCTGAGTGGGCTTATAGTTATTGTTAATCTTATAGCCATAATATATCTCTCATAGTTCTGTCCATTCATTTAAGTAGAAATGATAGGCTTTGTTAAGCCACACTAAGGTTTCAATATTGAGTTCTCAGTATATTTTAGATATGAGGCCCTTGTCTGTTGTATAGCTAGTGAAGATCTTCTCCCAATCTGTGGGCTTTCTATTGACCTTACTAGCTATGTCCTTTGCCATGCAGAAGCTCTACAACTTCTGCAACTTCTTTGATTTGTTGTGTTTCTCGGTCTCTATTGAGAAAATTTCAGCCTGTGCCAAGAAGCCCTAGACTTTCTCCTATTCCTTCCTGTAATGTTTTCACAGTGTCTGCTTTGACTTTGAGGTCTTTGATCCACTTGGAGCTGATTCTGGTGCAGGGTGATATATGGGGATCTAACTTTAGTTTTCTACAGGTGTTTAACCAGTTTTGCCAGCACCATTTACTGAAGAGGCTATTTTTCTTCCATTCTGTTTTTTTTTTTGGCTCCCTTATCAAAGACTAGGCGGCTATAGGTCTGTGGCTTAATTTCTGGGTCTTCATTCTATTCCATTGGTCTTCAGGTCTGTTTTTGTGCCAGTACCAACTGTTTTGGTTACTATGGCTTTGTAGTAGAGTTTGAAATCTGTATTGTATTCCTCCAGCACTGTACCTTCTGTTAAGGATTATTTTTACTATTCAAGGTCTTTTATTGTTCCATACAAAGTTTTGGATTGCTTCTTGATTTCATTGAAGAATGAGGTTACGATAATACTGTATACTGCATTGATTCTGTAGATAGCCTTTGGCATTATTGTCATTTTCATGATGTTAATTCTCCCTATTCAGGAACATGGAGGTTTTTCCACTTCTTTAGTTTTGCTTTATTTTCCTTTTTCAGGTTTTTAAAGTTTTATTATAGAGGTCCTTCACTTCTTCAGTTAACTCCTAGGTATTTTATTTTTTTTGAGCCTGTTACAAAAGGAGTAGCTTTCCTGAATTCAACTGTGCTCTGCTCATTTGTCTGCTACTTTGTCAAAGTTTTGAATCAGCTTGAGCAACTTGGGAGTGGAGTCCATGGGGTACTTTAAATACAAGATCATGTTATCTGCAAAGAGGGAGAGTTTTACTTCATCTTTCTCTATTTGGATCTCCTTTATGTTTTCATCTTGTCTTAGAACCCAAAAACTTAAATCCTCCAAAAACAAATCTTCAAAGAAACAACCACTCCATCAAAAAGTGGGCTAAAGACTTAAAGAGAGATTTCTCTGAAGAGGAAATAAGAATGGCCAGTAGACACATGAAGAAATGCTCAACTTCTCTGGCCATAAGAGAAATGCAAATCAAAACAACATTGAGATTCTCCCTCAGCCTAGGTTAGAATGGCTATACTCAAGAAATTTAATAATAACAGATACTGTAGGGGATGCGGACAAAAGGGAACCTTACTGCATTGTTGGTGGTAGTGTAAACTTGTTCAACCACTCTGAAAAGCAGTATGGAGGTTCCTCAAAAGAGTACTCATAGAGCTCCCCTATGACCCAACAATCTCACTTTTGGGCATTTCTCCAAATGATCAATAACAAACAAGGCCATCAATAACAAACAAGGTACCAGCACAACTATGTTTATCGCAACATTATTCACAATAGCTGAGATATGAAACCAATCCAGATGCCCCTCAGTAGATGAATGGATCAAGACAATATGATATATATATATCTATATTTTTTGAAATCTATACTTCCATCAGAAAGAACAATATTTGTAGGAAATGGAACAACTTGGGAAAAATCATATTAAGTGAAGTAAGCCAGCCCCAAAGAATCTAGGTACCAAGATTTCCCTTATTTGTAATAATTAGGATACATATAGGATAATCTTATCAGATGAGCTGAACAGCTCAAAAGCTATGTACATGTGTCCATATAAGAAATTAACCCCAATGAAAAACCAGTTGTTTAAGGATACAGGTGGATCTGATGCAACAATGAGAAGTACAAGTTGTCATGTCCAAAACGAGCTTTACAACGTCGGTGGGGTGGGGGGGAGGGGGGAAGGAGAAGGATTGGGATGGGGGGAGGGGGGAGGCTGGGAAGGGATGGGAAGGGTAAACAAAGGAGGAGGCTGCTATGCTTGGAAAGAAATGTACGCATTATCCTGCCCATGCAATTGTAACCCCTCTGTACAGTTTGTTCACAAATAAAATAAAATTAAATTAAAAAAAAAGAAATTAACCCCAAGATATGAACACAAGAGGTCTGTCTTTGTTGTTATGGTTTTAAATTTACTATGTGATTCTTTCTGATTCCTTTTGTATGTTATGACATAACCCCCGTTGTCACTGTACTTGATTTTGGTAGCCTGCATCTTTTATATACATTTGTATAATCTGGGGCGGGGAAGGGGGATAACAAAATGCTGAAACATGGACATGTATGACCCATTGCAACAATGATACCCACAGGACAGTATATTGGAAATTAACTTTACAACCTCACAGGGGGTGGGGGTGGAGTGTGGGAGGTGGAAAGGGAAGCGATAGTGGGACAACAAGGGAAGGGATAACAATGATTAACAAGTAATGTACTCATTGTCTTTCTTTATTTTTTAATTGTGAAAATACCATACAGAGGGGCTAAAATTACATGAGCAAGGTAACGAGTACATTGCTTATCAAGCTTTGTGGCC